ACTATTTTCTTCAACTTCTTCGTAGGACATCTGTTGAGTACATACGTTGCAGTGGCAACAACTTCTCCCCAGAGCTTCTGAGGAAGCTTCTTTTCCTTTAGCATGCTTCTCACCATATCAAGCAAAGTACGGTTTCTTCTTTCAGCAAGACCATTGTGTTGAGGGGTATAAGGAGCAGTAACCTCATGCTCAATTCCATTCTCCTCACAGAACTTCTGGAACTCTTTGGAGTTATACTCACCTCCACCATCAGTTCTAAGAATCTTCAACTTCTGACCACTCTGATTCTCAGCCTTCATTCTGAACTTCTTGAATTCATCAAACACCTCGTGTTTGAACTTAATAAGGGATACCCATGTCATTCTTGTGAATTCATCAACAAACAGCACAAAGTATTTATTCCCTCCAATTGATGCTACTGGAAATGGACCACACACATCAGAGTGTACAACTCCCAAGGCATGTTTTGCTCTTGGAGCAACTTCTGATGCAAATGGCAATCTTGATTGTTTTCCTTCCATCCAAACTTTGCATGACTTTTCAGGCTTCTTAATTGCAGGAATTCCATGTACCAATTTCTTTGAATTCAGATGTTGTAAGCTTCTGAAATTCAAATGACCAAATCTTCTGTGCCACAGCTCACTCTCCTTCTCAGTACTTGTTGCACTAAGACACTCTGAGTCTGCAGTTCTGACATTCACCTTGAATGTTCTATTCCTTCCCTGTTCTGACTCCATAATCAACTTCTGATTACAGTCATACAGCTTCAGAAGATTGTCCTTCATGGTAACTGAGAAACCTTTCTCAATTAATTGTCCCACACTCATCAGATTGCTTCTGATGCCAGGTACATACCACACATTCTGAATCAATGCTATTTTCCCATTGTTCAGAGTCACTCTGACATTTCCCATACCTTCTGCATTAAGATATTTGTCATCAGCACATCTGATCTTTGTTCTCTTTTCAGAGTCAAAGTCAACCAGCCATTTCTTGTTTCCAGTAAGATGATTTGAACAGCCAGTGTCCATATACCACCAGTCTCTCAGATCATCAGATTCAGAGGCCATCAATAGCACAGATTCGTCATCAGAACTTCTGGCTATATTTGCTTCTTCTGATTTCTTCTCCTTGTTTGACCAACAATCTCTAGCAAAGTGACCAAACTTCTTACAACAGTAACATTGGATCTTCTTCTTGTCATACTTCTCTTTTCCCTTCTGAGCATTCTTTTGTCTATCAGAGGTTGAGCTTTCTGACTTCTGACCACCATCAGATCTTCTCTTGGCTTCTGACTGCTTCTGATACCTCCTATTAGAAGTTGCTTTCAGAGTCTGCTGCTCTACTTCCCTTTCAGAAGTTCTCTCAGTCAAACGCAACTCTTGCGCTTCTAAACTGCTCTGCAGCTCTTCAATTCTCATGGTACTCAGATCTTTGGAATGTTCTATTGCTACCACAATGTAATCAAATTGAGAGGTAAGGGATCTCAATACCTTCTCCATGATTGTTTCTTCAGAAAGAGTTTCTCCACACACCTTCATCTCATTAGTGATCAGAATCACTCTGGAGATGTATTCAGAAACTTTCTCATTATTCTTCATGTTGAGATTCTCATATTGCTTTCTCAAGGACTGAAGTTTCACCTTCTTCACTGATGCGTCACCACCATAACATCTCACCAGAGTGTCCCGTGCAGCCTTTGCTGTTGTAGAGTCTGCAATCTTCTCAAACACGTTTACATCCACACATTGATGAATGAAGAACAATGCTTTCTGATCCTTCTTCCTTACTTCCTTCTGCGCGTTTTTCTGTTCATCTGTTGCATCTGCTGCTACCGGAACATAACCATCAGTGACAAGATCTAAAACATCTTGAGCACCAAACAGTACACGCATTTGGATCATCCAACGATTCCAGTTTTTACCGTCAAATACTGGAAGCTTGGTGTTCATGTTTCCGTTTCCGTTCATCTTCACCTTGCACAATACACTCAATGTTTCTCACACAGTGTTTCCCAACCCACAGAATAAAATTCTGATCAGATTTTGTTCAAGATTCAACACGAATCTAAGAATCAAAATCAAACACACAAGACCTCACGTTCACTCGTGTTTCCCGTGTTTCTCAATGAATTTGACCCGGAGCTCTGATACCAATTTGTTGGTGCAAAGATAGAATAAATGATGAAATAGGGAAATATTCTATTAAAGAGAATGACGGCTACAAAACATGATATTTGGTTACAATGATTGTCACCCTATTTATAAGCTAAAACTAGGGTTACTAGAATAAGATAAATACTAAAATACCCTCTAACAAACTTATGGGCTTAAGAAAGTAATATAATAAAATATGAATTATTACTAATATGCTGGAGTTGAAAGCAACGATTTCAAGATCGATCAAAGATATTTTGAAGAAGTTGAAGCGTCCACCTAGACATTGAAGTGTATTGTTACATTTTATATTGAACTCATTTATGTAATGCTTATTTTATGTTATGAATATTTATTTTATTTTGTCAAATTACAAGTTTTTGGTTACTTCCTTTGATATTGTTGTGCATACGTTACAGAAATGCATCTACACATAGATTCTAAAAATGTATCTTCGATTAAAAAAATCCAGCTGCTAAGAAGTCACTCAGAATGACATACGTTGTATGTATTAGGTGTGTTCGGAGATGTATTTCCGAAATTTAGAAGAACATTTTATGATGCATTAAAAAAATTCTAAAAAATATTCATATAGTAAGGAGCTTAAAAATAGGGGGACAAATAAAGAGCTTAATTATTGGGATTTTATCTTATAGAACTTTTTGACACCTCTACTTTCATATAAAATAAAAGAGCCGGGTGATGATAACTAAACAAACTATTCTGTCGTATACCCCATTAGCCTGCAATATTGAGTGAGATCCTTGAGTGCTTCACTTTCACTTTCTTTTAGCACCAAGTCTAGTATCATATAGACAATAATCGATTTTTCTGAAAGTTACCAACTTCTTCTAATGTGTACAATGTATATTTTCTTTGACATAATCGATAATCGTTACCAACTTCTTCTAATGTGTACAATGTATATTTTCTTTGACATAATCGATAATCGTTATTCCTGCCTTGAACAGAGCCACTCTGATGCCTAAAAAGCTATGATACATAAGTATGGGCATAGTAGTTGGTACCGGTGTACTTTAATAAGAGATAAGAGTTTTCTATAAAATATATGAATAGATAGCTAAATTGTTATGTTCTTTAATAAGAGATAAGAGTTTTCTATAAAATATATGAATAGATAGCTAAATTGTTATGTTCGCAACAAAATATATCATTATAAAAAAAAATTTTAAAAAAATAATGATAAAATACATAATAAAGAAACTAAAATACATATTTGAAAAATCCAAAAATTTCAATTGAAACCAAATAAAGAGAAAAAATGAAGTACTACAAGTATGATATGATACTTGAGAAATTTCTTCACCATTTTAAAACTACCCATGCTTCAGAGCTAAAAAGTATTTGAGCAAGTTCGTTAACCTTGAAACAACTCAGAAATTTCTTGAGATTACTGATGGCTATATCATTGTTACCGGTAATGACCAACCATGCCATGAACATAAAGTTGCACCATAATAACACGATCCCCATGAACCTGCGTAAATAGAGAGGAATCAACTTTGGATTGTTAGAAATTGTCTTTGAATTGCACAATAACAATGTTAGAACCAACTTCAAGATAGTTGCTTGAGCCTATAAAGCGACTTGTGGAGTCGACAAATTACCTTCTCCCTCTGTCGACAATTTCCCAAATGAGGCATGATTTTTCTTCTTCATCCAAATCATGGGATAAAATGCATTTTGCTATCTAAATACACTCTTAATCTTCACAGCATTAGTACTATCATTCACAGTCTGCTTAATGATTGAAGATTATTTCACACACTGCAACTCATTGAAATTCTCCAAATTCTCTTCAAAAGATAGAAATGTTTGTCCCAGTAACTTCTTTAAGCACTGAGTTCATAACCTTGATTCAATAATATTCTCTATCCATTATATGATCACCTTCTTAATATCTTCTTTGACACTTATATATATAGCAAACACTTCATGCTTCATTAAAAAAATATTAAAAAAATAATGCAGCACATGCAGTTAACCACCTCTCTGAATCAATGTGTGAGCATGCATGTGGTAGAAACATGATTTTTCCTTTTAAATTAGTACACTTGTCACCCTTGTGCCAAACATTGCGCATTAGTAAACATCTAATCATAATAATGAAATGGATTTGACATGTCCCTTAAGTGTCGGTAACTAAAAACTTCTTTAATCACTTCGTTTCTAATATAAAATACTAGAATGTGTTGTTTTGGTTCAGAGGTATACCTCTGCCTGGCATGTTCCATTGTTGAGGAGCTAAATAGTTTAAAGAATGGACTATAAAATGATGAGATCCAGATCTTGTTGGATATGATCAAAATATGGATCCATAACGATATAATATGCAATTTTTATTATATTAATCGGTTGTGTGTGCATGAATGACATGTAAGAAGCAATAAGAAACACCAATTTTTATAATTGCAATTAGGAGTGTTATGTGTCAGCAGAGATGGCAAACTAATTGAATACTAATGATGTTTTCTGATTACCAACACTTGAAAGACATGCCAGTCATAATCAGCATGCACCTAAAACACATTTCAATAATATAAGCATCTTGCAGAATATAACATGCAGTATCATTAACAAATTCACAATGTTGGGTTGACATGTGACAAGCTTACCATATTCAAAGGGAAATCCATGCATGCACCACATGCTCTACACCATCATCATTAACAAGTGCTACCTATTTTATTTCTTTATTGTATATCAACCAATATCATGAGTCGCTCTTATATAAAGAGAGTTTCGAGATCATTTGGAGACATCACACAAACATTAAGCTTTACAATTATCTTTGAAGAAAATAAGAACAAACTAAAGAGCAATATGGCAACAAAAAACCATGTTCGTTCTAATAGTTTTCCATCTCAATCTCATCCTAACTCAACAAGAATAGAACAAGAGCTAAGTGAAATCAAGACATGGGAAACCACATCAACATCCACATCTGATTCAATTACCACTGGCCTTTCTTTGCTTGAAGATTTGTACACTTCATTGGAAGGTTTTCTCAATATGGCATCAACACAAAAGGCCATTTCTCAGCATCAAGGTGAGAATTTTGTGGAAGAGTTGTTGGATGGTTCCGTGAAAATTTTGGATATTTGTGGTATTACAAGAGACACCATGTTAGACATTAAAGAAAATGTCCAAGCCCTTCACTCTTCTATTAGAAGAAGAAAGGGAGATTCAAGCATCGAATCAAGTGTAGCCGAATATAACTTCTTCACAAAGAAGGTGAAGAAAAATGTCACAACGTTGATCACATCTCTAAAACAAATGGAAAGTAAATTTGGAGCCTCCACACTTTTGAACCAAGATCAAGAAGTTGTTTATGTGATAAGAGTTCTTAGAGAGGTTATAGTAATGAACATGTCTATCTTTCAATCCATTTTGTCTTTCTTGGCTTCCAAGTCAAAGGCAACCAAATGGATGAAAATGGCAAAGTTGATGCATAAGAGGACAATATCATGTGAGGAGGAGAATTTAAATGAACTGCAGCGTGTGGATGCATCCTTAAGAACCCTTTTACGCGAAGGTTCTGATATTGTAAAGATGCAGGTTGCAATTGAAAGTTTTGAAGCTTTGGAGAGTGCAACTGAAGGGCTAGAGAAAGGTTTGGAAAGTGTATTTAGGCGTTTGGTTAAAACTAGAGTTTGTCTTTTGAACATGACTCAATAGTTTACTGGGTCTTTATTTTCTCCCCAAAGCAAAAGCATCCAAATTTTAAGGATCTGCTGAGGATTGAAATTTTTTTGTTTGTATAGATACATATATCATATGTAAATTCTAAAATATAGAATAAAAGTAATATAATTCCTTTTTTTAATGAAAATCTACATACAATAACTTGAAAATGGTTTAACAATCATCAGCTTCTACTTACTACCACTTTAAAATATATCAGCTGTAAAATCTTGGGTGGTTCTACTTATTTTGAATGGTAACACCTTTTTTAGTCATGTAACATCAAGTGCCCAAAATGACAAACATCAACTTCATATCTTTCTCTGAAATCTTCTCATCCACGAGTGTTCCTGAAGAACTCCATTAATTGGTTTTTAAAAGGTTCTTGTCTCTAAAACTCACTCCGAGAGAATATGACACATTAACCGAACCCTCATTTTCCCCATCAACGTCTTTGAACTCTAAATACTGTGGGGCTAGGGTTAATATGATATTGATTCATGATATTTTTTGTGAAAGATAATAGTCATTTAAATCTAAACTAAGACGTATTTGTTCCCAAGATTTAGTGCTGGAGTTGTATGTACACAGTCTATATCAACTTAGTGGATCAACAATTCATACACCAACTCACACTGCAACCTCCATTAGGATCCAAATAGGTAAAGTATGTATAACAATATTGCAGTTCTAGAATTTCATAAGTGAGCGTATGAAATCTTTTGGGTCACCTTATTTTTCCTCTATACTGTTTTCTTAGAACAATTTTTTATATGCATAACTCTGCTCTTGTTATGAAATCAACAGAGATCAAATCTTACCATTCATATCAGTTTTTATTTAGTTTCAAGTTAATTTAGATACTATAATGTAAGTTCCAATATTATATTTTATGTTACACTTTATGATAAAATAAAAAACAAAGTTTGAATAAATTGCAAAAAAATAAAGTATCAATAATACAAATAGAGTATTAAAAAAATACAAATATATTGATCTAAAGTTGTAGGACTTTTCCCCTAAGGGAGTCCTTCCAGAAATTCTCAAAAGCTTGAGTTAAACTCAAGCCTTTGAGGGGGTTTGGAAATAGTTTTCAACCAGCAATAGACGCGCCTCGGTTAAAACCTCACTAGCTGCGTCATTGCCCCAAGCGCAAAGATAGAAATGAACGAGGAATAAGCTTTCTTTCTATATAACTTCAAGCTTATCTAATTCCTCTCATTAGCAATATGGGACTTAGGAAGTTTTGGCAACAACTAAGACAAGCAAATAGTAGAAAAATAGCCCAGTCATCAAACAAGTACCAAAGTTATAGAATTTTACTTACTTCTAATCCAGCCACAAAATGACAATCTTCAACTCCCAGCTTTGACCCCTACTTTTTCTATATCAAAAGCCTTTCAGTGGAAAAATCTTTAGGAGACAAAGATGTCTTGATGGAATCATGAAGCACGAGTCCAAGATAAGCTGATGACTATATAAATCCTGACCGAAGCTTAATCTAACATTTGTACAAACATTGACATGAAAATAACAGAATCGAAGTAATTTAACGCAAACATAGCACATGAATAAGAACTCACCTTGCAACAGAGGAGCTGTATTGAGCTAAACAATCTATTCCATCTTTTATTTAAGTAAGTCTTTAGCGACCTCACCATTTTCTTGATCAAAATCTACCATGGCTATAGCTCACAAAAGAATCATGTCGAAGACAAAGAGGCTTTTTACCTAAGTGTACAGATGCAGGCCAGCAGACGATTCATGCACTAAAAGTAAATTACAATGAAAGATGAAACAAACAGTACTCTTTATTGCACAACAAGGTGATCAATTTAACTTCTTCAAACAGAATGATTAAGCATATAGATTATACAAACTGAACCACTGCCAAACATGTCAAGATTTCAAAAGTTTTAACCAATCACTGGAAAAGCAACAACTTCAGTGGGAAGGAGACAACTAATAATGTTTAAAAATTAGTCAATCATCAAATATCAAAGGGGTCTCTAACAGTCTCTTGTATTATTCCATTTGTCTAAAGTTGAAGCATCTGCTAATTGATTTGATTATGATTTTCAAAGGCCAGCATACCAAATTCTTAATCTTGTTTTCTCACTTCTTAAAAGTGACAAGAAAATAGAAAGATTATCATTTAGATTAGTCACTAGAAAACTATGCACAGACCAAAATCAAAGTTTGTAATATATTAAAAATAAATTAAGCTTAAGAATCTTGAATGAAAATTGATAAAGTTGAACTAAATTGCAGAGCCCTCAATATAGAGGACTCTTCCAGAAACTAGCGTATGCCGCTAATTGTGATGCTAACACGGTATTCTTTAGTAAAAGGCGAAAGAATAGTTCGCTATGTCATCATCACACGGCTCCCTAAATGTTATAACAAATAGGTCCTTTCATTTTATATGTAAGCATTATAGTTTCTTTAATGCAGTAGATGATGTGGGACTTCAGTCTAATACCTACTCACTTGAATTACTAAAGTATCCCAATCTAGCAATGCAAATACATCACATGAATAAATCTCACCTTGTAAAAGAGGAGTTGTATTGAGCTAATCGATCTTTAAAAATCTCACCATTTTCATGATCAAAATTTACTATGGCTATAGCCTATAGGATACAACAAAAGAATCCTGTAGTAGATAAAGAGGATTTACCTTAGTTAGGCTTAACATGTTTCATTCAAGAAGATAGTCTCTTCATTGCAAAACAAGGTGGTCAATTTAACCAATGAAACAACATAGCCATGGAGTACAAACTGAGCACTGCCAAACAACAGATTTCTCTTGGACTAACTACAACTATGAAGCACGGAAATCCCAAAAATGACTCCGACACTTACGCGGCGACACCGATAATAATTTAAAAAACAAATAAATTAAATATAATTATAAATGTCGGTACAGATGTTCGACACGGAGACACACATTTTTTAGAGATGTCGGTGCGACATAAAACTACAGGTTCTTTCTAAACCTCAATTCTAGCCTGGTGGTGTTAATTATCCCTAAATTAAGTGGAGCATATAGCATTGAAAACTACACACCTAGATCCCTTAGAGTTAACATTAAAAAGGCATTAGATACATAAGATTGTAACTTTTTATCAATCATTTGGGTTTAATCAAGTGTTTTGCTCTTGCATAACAAGGATGGATGATGAGATTTGAGAAGCAATTTTACATGGCAAGTTAGTAGAGACTCAAAACCCCTTTTTCAACAGACCCAAAACATCATTAGCAAATATTTATGAATAAAATGTGATTTTTTGAGAATGGAATTGTATTGTTTACCTTGCTTCACATAGAGAACATAGAAATCCATGCTCCATATCAAAATCATAATGAACTACAAATTTCTACTAGGAAGACAAAACGTTTATGAGAAAATGCTTTTCCTTTTTTCTTTTCCTGTTGATTTGGTAAAGTGTTTTATTTTAGTTCATGGTATTGTTGCCACTTACTAAATATGTTCAAGGCTTAGGCAACAATGCACTCTAATAATATGAATTATGACACGTTTTGTCCATTATGTTGAAACTAGTTGTTGAGAAAAACTTAATATTGTTATATTATTATTATTATTATTAGGACACTGATAAAATATTAGAAATTGTGCACTGTGTTTAATAAAAATATAAAATTTAATTTTTTTATTGATGTTTTCAATACAAACTTAATTAAATGTATTTCTTAACTTTTGCTTCTACAGGAGCACAAGTTAACATTACTTTTATTATTATTTACAAATATTTATATAAATTGAAATTATAAATTTTTGTAGATATATAATTTGAAGAGTAAGTCCAATTATTATATTAATGTAATAGTTGTATTTTTAGTAGTATAAATACTACTTTTGACTAATATAAAGTCACAAAAAATTTAGTTTGAAAACACAAAAACATTCTCTTTTTTTAAATCTTTCCATCTAAATTTAATAGTTATAATTAGTTTAATAATTTATATTAGTTCATAAATATTAACAAATATTTAAAATTGGTTTTTCTCAAGATGTTATCAGCACGGTCGTTTCTATCAGAATTCAGAAGTTATTATTACACTAGGTATGTCTTATAAACTTATCACTTTAATCATTATTTTTTACTAGAATGACTTTTATCATTATTTTTACTTTACTCGATGCTATAGAAAACTGACAATTTGTCAAGTGCTCTATAATAAGTGTGACTTTTATATACTTTGTGTGGAGGTTTAAAACCTCATATGCATATCTTACTAACTTTTATATTCAATTACTAACTTTTATATTTAATGGAAGTTTAAAACCACATATGGAGTTACTAATTTTTATATTTAACAGAGGTTTAAAACCCATATGCAGTTACTAACTTTTATATTTAATGGAGATTTAAAACCTCACGCAGTTACTAACTTTTATATTCAATTACTAACTTTTATATTTAATTACTAACTTTTATATTTAATGGAGGTTTAAAACTCATACAGTTACTAACTTTTATATTCAGTTCCTAACTTTTATATTTAATAAAGGTTTAAAATCCCATATGCAGTTACTAACTTTTATATTTAGTTCCTAATTTTTATATTCAGTTACTAACTTTTATATTTAATAGAGGTTTAAAACCTCATATGTAGTTACTAACTTTTATATTTAATGGATGTTTAAAACCTCAAATGCAGTTACTAACTTTTATATTAAGTTAATATAAAAGATTGAGGTCTAAAACCTCAGTTACCAACTTTCATATTTAGTGGAGGTCTAAAACCACATATGTTATCTTATAATTATCTATAAACTCTTGTAATAGTTAGTTGATATTTAACACACTTTAAATTTGATTTGATGATATTTTTTTTTCTTTCTCAATTTTCTTTTTCTTTTCTTTTCCCTTACGGTAACTATAATGGCCGTTTTACAAAATTATCTATATATAACTTAACTTCTTTCATAAATTCCACATCTTTCTCAAAAATTTATTCATATATTTC